TGCTATCAGTCTGGTAATGTGGGAAACAGACTTAAATAAATGAGCATCTCTACTTGCTGACAAGAAAAGAAACACCCAATCCAGCTTCGTTTAATACAATGCAGTTCATGCTAATGACCTTGATGAATGATCTGTTCTCATTGTGAGGCCTTGTCTTTTGGAGATTAATTTGGTCTCTGTAAATGGTGTGAACAGCTCCCATTTTTGCATATAAATTACTTCCACCTAGGGAGCTTGTATAGTTTTTTTTAGTTCCCATTAATTTTAATTTACTTGCGATTAATTTTACAAGTGAACTAAAGCATTACTCAATCTAGTAAAAAAAGGCAAAAACAATGGGGGAAGAGGTTTCTGGAGCTGTAACAAGGAAACCTTTTGAGTACTGTATACCAAATATCTCATAGCTCAGAAATAAGTGAAATTAAGATTTGTGTATGTTCTGAAACTGTATAAGCTAGGCAAAAATTATATTTTCATTCCAGATTAAACTGATTTCCAGGTTATATTTCTTGTGGAAAAAGAAATGATGATATTCAGAGATTATTATTTGTTGCTTAATATTTGTTTCTTGAATATATCTATGTCTGTATTTTCCATTCTTAGGATTAGTCCATTCCTTCATTTTTAGCGGTCCCTACATTCTGTTCCATAATTAATTGTTCATAATTCTTACTGCCTTCTGAAGTTCAATTAACTTTTTTATAATAATAGTTTTATTAAACATTAATTGTACAGAGAAAATTAATACAAGGTATAACGGAGAGGAAAGGAAAGGGTTTTCCTCTTCGTTCCAGCAAGTATAAACAACTTTAACAACTGATCACCATATCTTAAAATACAACAAATAATCTTCATTCCATATGTCACCACATTGTTTATAAATACCTAATCAGCAAAGATCCATTAAGGGTTACCAAAAATAACCTATCGTTTAAAAATGTGATCTTATAAACCCACTTGACTTCTTTCCTTTTATATTTATATCTCCTTTTCTATGATTATATCTCCTTTTCTATCATTAAACAAATCTCCCTAACATTATCCTTCAAATTTAATCAGTAAAAATCCAATAAAAGTTTACTGAACAACATAACTGTTTTAACCCTAATCAGATAAATTTAAAAAACAAAAAAATCCTTTTTGTAAATCCAATTTAGAAAAGTTATCCAAAACACTCTTCTGATTTATTATTTGTATGTTCTTTTTAGTTATCAAATCATTCCCTGGTTTCATTTCTATATCCAATATTTCATCTTTTTCCGCATCATTCTTGTAGTCTGTCATTTTTAAATCCACATTTGAGTTAACTTCAGTCTTGTCCAGTAATACAGTACTTGTTCCTCTTCCATAGCATTATCAAGAATGGCAGAGACATTTAAAACTAACTTCTGAGCCCATTGTTTACAAATATCTCTCAATGCATCCACTGTTAAAAGATTTCACTCCATTCTGCATTATCAGCTCACATTTAAGTGTTCTCCCCCTCTAATTATAGTCTTTATTTGCTTCTGTTAGCATGTTGTCCTTCTTCTGAATGCAAAAAACATGAATAATTCATGTTTTTAAACTCTTATATTTAATTTCAGAATCTTATTAAAATCAATTTGGTCCCTTAGTCTGTTTATACCTTTATGAAATCAACGTTCAATTACTCTTTAGCTGTTAATTCTAAAAAAAAATCTTTAAATTTGTAGTTAAAATTTATTTCACAAAGGACGGAAGGAAACTCACCCAGTGAATGCCATGAAGCTTGCCATTGCCAGAGGGTCTCGTTATTTAAAGAGCAATAAAAAAATAATTCCAAAGTGATTAAGGAATGAGAATTGGCTGAACTCTAAGTTCTTAAAGTCTACATTATGCCTATGAGCTTCTAATGAGTACATGGTGAACTGAAGACTTCCCTGAAAAAGTAGAGATGACATTTCAGCTGAAGTTGCTAGTCGGAGAATTGTGAGATTACCCACATGTACTGCAGACGGTGATTCCTGTTGTTTTCGCAATTTGTTTGTGAGCTGAGTAGCTGTGAAATTGGAGATACCATCAAAACTCAACTCACTTCTTCAGGAAAATTAATGTACACATTTGTTTAATAAATATTCATCAAGAGGTAAAAAATCTAAATTGATTCAATGGATTCAGCTCTTAGTAAGGAACATACTTCACTTGCAATTAAAATACATTATTTCCTCTTTGTGGAAGGACCAAATTATCCCTGCTATTGTCCATACTAAAGTGTAAGATATTTTTTGTTCTTAAGATCTTGTAGATAACTTGCACAATGGTGTGTAATTATAGACATTTCTCAATCTGCCCTTGTGTCAGCACTTCCAGGTAGTCCAGATAGAAAACCAAAACCATACTTTATTATAAGGCTCCAGTAATAGAGACTTGCAAGTCTGTATGTTGCTCTCCCTTTCTCTGTCTTTATGTTCCAGAGAACTAGGGAGGGCCAATTCTAATACACTTATTCACATTACATTCTTGCTTTGGACTCAGATTTTGTTTTATCAGATTGGCCCCAACCCTGCTGGCTGGGTTTCACTTAAGACTTGGCTATTTGTCTAGCCATGAAGATCATGAACCTAGTAAGGCCTGCCATTTCTCTTTCTCTTTGATCATATATTATGTTTTCAGTTATTTATATTATTTTCCTTTTAAATTCTGTTTGCCACTCAGAATTGTTTTGGTGAGAGGGGCCATATAAATCAAGTTTGTGGGAGGTTAATGTTCAGTACCACTGGGGGGGTCCATTGTTTTTCCAATGTTGTAGTACTGAATGGGTTGATTCTTTCCTTGACTATAATCCTGTTGTAGGATTAAAAATTTAGATTGTTGGTGCAACATAAGATGCAGTATCCCTTATTGGAAATCTTTCTCTGTGAGGCAGCACTGGGTAAAAGTAATAGAGGAATTAACGAAGTACCTATCAGAGGCAACCCTTAAGTTCCAGAAACCACTATAGCTTTCAGGAACCACTAAAAGTCAATATCTAGGTATTTTTCTGGATTTGGTACCCAGGTTTTGGATTAAAATAAGAGACAAAATTCATGACTCATATATATCTTCTTGATTCATTCCTAGGACAATATTCATTCCTCTAGTTAGCAGATGAGGCATTCCTGAGGTTTCATTATTGTATGTCCATGTCCAAGTAGCACCATTGCATTGATAATGTCAGTGAGTGCATGTTCCTTTAAGATGTAGGGCAGATGTATTTAAAGTCATGATGATTCTATGAAACCTCCATCTTTAGAACCAGTACATCTCATGACACAAGAGGAAGCCCCATTGCCTTTAAGATGGATGTCTGAGCATCTGATGCGGCATTGCAGAAAACGAAATTATGCTCTGACATTACTTTTCCCAATCTACTGTAGATGCGCTTCAGTTGTATGGACTTCAATTCTCAGAATTACTTGCTGGTGTGATCATGGAAGAGAATCCTTAAGAGTTGAATTTTACACATCTGATGGGAACACATGGTGGAAAAGACTGGTATTACTAGCATTACAAAGAGATTTGCAGTAAAACAATGATCCAGCATTATGTGATAACTTCTCAAGCACTTAAACTACGCCATGAGCAGCTGAGGAAGCATGGCCATCCAGATAAAATTTGGAGCTAAGCTTCTGTGGAAAAAAAGCAAAATAATGAGGCCAGATGGAATCTTAAGAGTTTAAGTGGATCCAGTATAAGAGATGCAAGGCTTGGACTGGTGCACTTTTTAATTAATTCTACTTCTTTGGAACTTCTGTATCAGCCATGGGCCTTTACAGCCTCCCTTCTGACCCATTTGAGCAATCCATCCTGGGATGACTCATATTTTCTTCCAAGAGACTCCAAAGGGGGGGAGGATTACCAGGATGCTAACCATCAGCAATGATCAGTGACATAATTGCACCATCTTTGTTAAAAGTCAGTCCCTTGGCACTCATTAGACATGAGCAAGAAACAGAAGATAGTTGGGGGGGGGGGAATCCTTCAGCTAGATATAGATACTCTTAAGTAATACATCCATGGTGAGAAAGGCAGCAAATACAAATGTAGCAAATAAATAGTATTCATATAATCATTTAGTAAGCTGGTTGCACAGGTTTGGGCCTTGCCCCCTTCTCTGCTCATCAAATATGAATATTAAGTTTGTGCAACATTTGAATTTATCTCCAGAAAGACTTTTGGAACATGCAGGAGTACAAAAAAAAGCATCTGCTTTAAGGAATGCAGACAGGAACTATTTCTCCTATTCCTTTCCCCCCCCCCATCCCTATAATGGGACTGGGCACCATTGAGTAAAAGAATATTGGATAAACATGTGGTGTGCATGGTGTCCATCCTATGGGGGTGGAGAGAAATAGGGAAAGCAAGTTATGTTTTTAAAAGGCCTGCCTTTGGTAGCTGCTTGAACTTGTTTAAAGGAACAAGAGACAGGTCTTATAGTGAGAAACCTTCAGGCTCAGAACCCTTCTATGGTGAACATTTTTTGGTTGCAAATAGACCAAAACAACAGCACAAATGTTTTTGTGATCCTAAGACTATCCTGCAGAATTCTTAAGATATACATGCTGACTGGGAAATTCTGGGAGTTTAGGTCCACACATCTTGAAGCTGTCCAGTTTGGAAAAAAACAGCTCTATTGCTATAGACATTGGCCCATTCATGGTGGTCAATTGTCTTAACTCTTGTTCTGTGCTGCTTCTTGGAATCTTCGTATAGCTACTGCAGCTTTAAGACAGCTGTAAGATT